CTTGAACTTATGTAGCTCCACTCGAAATGGAACAGTTGTCCTTCGACGTGGATTAAAAAAATTGGACCGGAAGCTCTCTTTTCTCTCTCTCTCTCTCCTCTGGTCGAAAGGATTGACACACGCAATAATCAATGCCAAATTTATTGCCTCTTTTCTCTCTCTCCCCTCTTTATAAAAGAACTCATTTCAAGTCCTCCTTCACCACCCCTCTCTTCTGCAGCTCTCTTCCCCTCCCGAGTTCATTTCTTTGTCCCTCACTCACGTCAAGCCCTCCCCCCTCCTTCTTCTTCGCCTTCGTCTTCTTTGCCGTCGTTGCCTTTCTAGCTCCGACACTGGCCTCTCAAACTCTTCTTTGTCTTCTACTCCTAGTTCGGTCCTGATTTCTGGGTCGGTTACATCGCCGACGACTTTGAAGCTGAAGAGACTTGTGAGGCTGGATATTCCGGTGGGGGCGCTGAGTTTTGGCCACTGACGTCAGCCATGGTAGTGAGGAATATTGTGGTGGAGAAGAGAGAAAACTATGAGTACTGTGAGACACCTCTCACTCCTGTTCTTTTTTTTTTTTGTGTGTGAAGGAGAGAGAGGAGTATGGCAGAGCCATTAGCCTTCCAACTATGTTATGGGATATTCCTTTACAATGGCGGTAGTGGTAACAAGGAAACTCCTATCTATCCTAGGAGTCCAAAACTAATTCAGTTACGTGGCCTGGCTGCAGGGCAGAATTGATGCTCACCAGAGGTGCTGGTTAACTAATATTGGTGACGAACAGCAGTTGCAGCAGTCGGCCGGACAGGCTGGTTTTTTCGGTTCTACTAGAAACTTATGCTTAGCGTGGCTCGGACTTGTCGCTACGTCGGTGGCCGCGTTGATGGCACTGAAGGGAATGATGCGGACCTGGCTTGGTTGGGAGGAGCGGTGATGTCGTGGCAGCAGGGTGCAGTGACTGTCAAGGCTAAATGACGGCAACATCTGGGTGTAGTGAACGTCTAATATTGGCAATATCTCCTTATTTTTTGGAATTTTGTGCCTTATTGCTGAGATTCTACCTTTCAAAAGTTGGAAGGAATTCTTCTCTTTTCCATCGTTGAGTAAGGGTGCGAATGGTAACCATTCTGCTCCAGAAATCAAATTCGTGCCAGAAATTGATTTCTGGAATTCTTGTCAGAAATTGATTTCTGGAGGAGAAATCTGTTTGGTAAAACATGATTAATTCTGCTCCAGAAATTGATTTCTGGAACAAAAATCTGTTTTGATTTGTTGATTTTTTTTGCACCTAAAAAAAATTTAAATTTTACTCAAAGTGGGTGGCCACATGTATTATAAGCCATTCTGCAAAGTTTTGAAATTTTTGATTTTTTAAAATTTTTTTTGGGCACCTAAAAAAATTTAAATTTCACTCAAAGTGGGTGGCCACAGGTATTCCAAGCCATTTTGTGAAGTTTTGAATTTTTTTGGGCACCTCAAAAAATTTAAATTTTACTCAAAGTGGGTGGCTACAGATATTCTAAGCTATTATATGAAGTTTTGAATTTTTTTTATTTTTTTTATTTTTTTGGGCACCTCAAAAAATTTAAATTTCACTCAAAGTGGGTGGCCACAGATATTTTAAGCCATTTTGTGAAGTTTTGAAAATTTTTATTTTATTATTATTTTTCTTTTTTTTGGGCACCTCAAAAAATTTAAATTTCACTCAAAGTAGGTGGCCACAGGTATTTTAAGCCATTTTGTGAAGTTTTGAAATTTTTGATTTTTTTTGGGCACCTCAAAAAATTTAAATTTCACTCAAAGTGGGTGGCCACATGTGTTTTAAGCTATTTTGTGAAATTTTGAAATTTTTGATTTTTTTTTATTTTTTAAAAAAAATTCACCAAATTTCATATTTTCCCGAAATCTGACTTTTTTTTATTTTCTGGAAATTTTTATGAATTTTTCTAGAATTTTTCAATTTTTATGCATTTTCTGAAAAAAAAATTGTGAGAAAATAGGGAAAATGCATTCCGGAATCAAGAAGCTACAAAAAGTAGCTTCTCTTTTTCTTGCCAAAAACTCATTCCAAAATAAAAAATGCATTCTGGAATCAAGTATTTTTAACAAACGCATTTTTATTCCGGAATGCAAAAATCGCTCCAGAATGCATTCCGATGCACACCCTAAACGACCCGTTCACACGTTATTCAATAATGATTAATTTTTTTTTACGCTCGATCGTTTGAAGATAATTCGTCTCAATATGCTCCCCTGTTTTGACCGTATTTATATACCCAAATCCTTGACTTTCGCCAAGGATTGAGGTAATGACGTGCCCACAAATTTAGCCCATTCTCAAGAAAAATATTTCTCATATCTCCAATGACGCCTTTCTTGCTGACCAAAATAAAAACTGACGCCTTCCTTAAATTTGTGAGGCCATCATTTATGAAAAAGAATCCACGGAATTCTCCTCCTTTTTTTGAGCGTCCCCCCACAATCACCTTTTGGTTAGCTTAATCTGTAAACTGTAATATTTCAAATATTATAAGACTCAATTATTCTTTTTAATCATGTATCATCGGTGAAATTTCAATCCGGATTAACTTGTGGAAGGCCGAAAATATCCACTTGAACTACTGATCATCCCCTTTAAGCATCACTTTAGTGGCTCTTGTTGCAGCAGCAGCATAACTAGCCCTCAAAATTAAGGCAAAGTGGAAGCGAATTCCAAATCATTTTCAACATTTTTGTATAGAAGTCCCAAAATCAATCTCAGTGATTCCATCCTACTTAGAAGGGGGAGGGCTTAAGGCGAGTGAGAGACAGAGAAATGAACTCGGGAGGGGAAGACAGTTGCAGAAGAGAGGGGTGGTGAAGGAGGACTTGAAACGAGTTCTTTACAAAGAGGGGAGAGAGAGAAAAGAGGCAATAAATTTGATTGTTGCGTGTGTCAGTCCTTTCAGCCAGGGGAAAGAGAGAGAAAAGAGAGTTTCCAGTCCAATTTTTTATTTCCACGTTAAAGGACAAGTGTCCCATTTTGAGCGGAGCCACGTGAGTTCAAGCATGCCACGTAAGCAAATGATATGGTGATTTGAAACCACTCAATATTTTATCATTAAATGAGTTGTACTACCTTAACAAGAAAGTGTTAGCTACTAAGTTTTAAAGCGCATATCCTCTGATGTGTATTGAATGCATTGTCAAGATGATCATCCGTAACTAAACATTCTTCGGCGTTTATTTCCTGAGTCGGTGAGTTCTTTTCAGTGTGAAGTTTATTAATTTGGTAAACATCATAAAGTCTCTTTTCCTTCTCGCATTTAGAGTCATGTCTCTAGTCCATTTAAGCTGGTTCACTCAGATGCTTGGGGTCTTTATCGTGTTTTTGCTATTTTTCGTTTCATATATTATGTTACATTCATGGATGATTTTTCCCGAATGACTTGGTTGTTCTTAATAAAAGACTGTACTGAAATTTTTCATTGATTTCGCCTGTTCTATTTTGAAGAGTTGAATTAGTATCATACTTCAGTTAAAACTTTGCGGTTAGATAATGCCAAAGAATACCTTGCTACTTTTGGTCTTCAATCGTTTCTTGATTCTCATGGTATTATTTATCAAACTTCCTATTTATACACTCCATAACAAAATATTGTAGCAGAACCCAAAAATCGTCATCTTCTTAATGTTGCTCATTTACCTTATGTTTCATATGCATCTACCTAAAACTTTTTGGGGACATGCTGTCCTTACAACTTGCTACTCAATTAATCGACTTCTAACTTTTGCTCTTTAGGGGGAGACACCATTCTCTTTTTTACATCCAAATCGTCTTCCTTTTCCATTATCTCTACACGTCTTTGATTGTGTTTATTTTGTTCATTGTTTTACTCCTAGTCTTGATAAGTTGGATCCTCATGCCAAAAAATGTCTTTGTGGGATACTTTCGAACTCAGAAAGGCTACAAATATTATATTCCCACTCATCGTCATGTATTTGTGTTGGCGGATGTAATATTCTTTGAAGACTAGCCATATTATAATTAGGGATGAGCACGGTTCTAGGGTAGAACCAGGAACTGAAGAACCGAACCGGCGGGTCAAGTTCGGTTATCGATTCTAGAGTGGGAGGTTTCGATTCCCGGTTCTAATTTTTTAGGAACCGCCGGTTCTAGTTCCAGTTCCCAATTCCTATAAGAATCGGAACCGGAATCGGGAACCGGACCCGGAACCGAAGCTGGAAGCCTAAAATAAAGTAAAAACTAAAAACCCTAACTTTCTTTTTCTTCCCAAATTTCTCCTCACTCTTCCATTGCGCTCTTTCTCCCACTCCCCACACCCACGACTCGACGAGACCCTCTCGCCTCTCCTCGCTCCGTTCGGCGTCCGCATCGGCTCTTCCTTTGTCTTCATCAACCGCGGTCCGGCTTGTCCGCAGCGGAGGTGGGCTTCACTTCAAGGCTTCAAGCGACATACTGTGTCTTCGTCTTCGTTCGGGCTCACATGCCACCGCACGCGCACCCTCTTGAGCTGGCCACCTCGGCTCTTCCTCCTCTCATCTCTCCGCAAGATTGTCACCACTTCTCGCTGGACGTGGTTCCTCTCCGGGCAAGGTTCGTGTCAGCCTCCGAGTTTGTTTGTTTCTGTGTTTTTTTCCCAAATTCTGTTCGATTGCGCTACTGTAGAGGTTTCTCTGAGCATTGATTCGGGAGGAAACTTTGTAGCTTGTGGACATAACTTCCTAGTTCCTATGTATTCGTTGCTAGCGTTTGATGAAACTGACCACTGTTTTGCAAATTGTGAGAATTTTAGCTTGAAGGGATCTCTCTAAACAAGTATTATTTTGAACTTTGCTGAATGTTTTCTCACTGAACTCTGACTTTATTTTATTAACTTTTGGTTCAAACTACATTTTCGGAAGAGCCTTGAAGTGTAAAGAAAATGTCTGCATACATTTGTTTTTCTAGTTCTCCTGCGATATGGAGGTCTCCGTGAAGCTTCGGACCAGATTTTAATCTTTATGATCGTCAAGATTACTTTGTTCTTTCTAGTGTTTATTAGAGGACCTGATCGAGGGCCAAAAAAAGAGAGTAGCATCGTCAATCATCATTTGCTGTGAAGTAAAAAAAACAACCAAATTCACGAGAGAGGACAGACCTTGAAACAAGAACCGAAGAACTTAAATTTACGATCATGGTAGCTTGCAAAAACTATGCACTCGCTTGCCCGATGGCACGAGATGAGATCTGCTACCGGAGGATTGGGCAAGGCTTATTCAGCAAATTGACTTAGAAAAAAGTTTGCTGGTGTAGCAAGACATCTTGACATGGATTGTGAACCATGAAGGGAAATCCAATATACAGATGAACAGAAATCTCAGTGCATAAAGTGGTTCTTCAGTTTCTTTTTGCTTCCCGGAGTCTTTATGTGTGCTGCATGATTATGCTAATTCATTCCCATCTGCAAACCATGAAAGAAGAGCTGGCTTGAAGATTTGGCACACAAAACTACAGTAAGGTATTGCTTTTTAGCTCTTCTTGCCAAGCCTCTTGTTTGTTATGACTTGGGCTTTTGAAACCCAAACTCTGTTAATGCCCTTTTTCTTGTTAAATAAAACTCTATTGAAGGCTTCTTGCCAAACTCTATTTCTTCAAATGCCAATTAAAGAAGTCTGTTTTTCCAGTGCAGTTGGTGTCATCGAATTTTTCCTATTCAAGCTACATGTAGTTTGAATGAGCCAGACCTAAGGATTGTTGTTCAAAAGCTTGTTCTCAAGTTTATAAAGGATAAGCCAAGCAGACTTGCTTTACCAATAAAGGTACATGTTCTATCTGTATCATAAATTATCTATTTATCGCTTCAGTCCCTTCCCCCTTTTGTGTTCTTTTTAAGTGTGACACTTTGGGGATTTCATTTCCTAATATGGTTCAATTGTTGCTTCTTACCCCGTCACACGAAGTCTTCTCCTCTCCCTTCAATCGAATCAGAGTTGTTACAATATCATTATGCATCCTTATAAATTGGTCCATTTTGTGAATGTGTCTGCTCACAAATTGAATGACTCTTCCATTGGTCTCTAGTTTGCAGTTGGATGCAATAGAAGAGGACTTGAAGAGACAGAGCTGAAGAATTCAAAAGATAAATATGATGGTTTTGATTTACTACCTTTGTTGGACTGCCACAAATGCTTTGAAGTCGTAGCTGCAGTAGTTAAGGATGCTAGATCAGATTCATTTGTAGATCTAAAAAACCCCGAGGTAGAGCTCCCTCTGCCCTTCTCTCTCTCTCATGTTTATCTGACATTTTTTATTGTTGATTTCTGTTCTGGTTGAGCTGCTACCCCTTTCGGCTATTCCGAGTGGGTTGAAGATTAAGATTGAATTGGGTGAATTAGGTTCGTCAGCGTTGCCCTTTTCTTCCTTCAACTTCCTATCTTAGTTTTAGTGCATAGTTGCGATTTTCATTATGTGCGCCGGTCTCTTTGATGTTGCGTTCTATCTCCTTTCTATTAAGAAAAATGTGACTTTTCAATAACTACTTTTTTATGTTCTCTTTAATGAATGTTAAGCTTGTTCATTTTCGTTTTGTTTAACTAAAAATTAAAAAAAAAAAAAAGAACCTATTGGAACTTGGAACCAACCTTGGAACCTGTGATAGGGTAGGTTCCAGGTTCCAAAAAATAAGGAATCTGCACCCGATGATAGGTTCTAGGTTCCAGGTGGAACCTAGAACCGCTCACCCCTAATTATAATGCTTTGATGGTGCCTATGGCGACTCCTGATGGTGGTTGGTGTGTCTTACCAACATTTCCACAACTCTCACTTCCTCCAGCACCGTCCACGGGATTTCAGTTTGCTGACCACACCTATCATCGATGTGGTACAACTCCCATTACAGCAGTACAACCTTCACCATCGCATGATTCATCTGTTCCCTCATTAGTTGTTGCACCATCCTTTGATCTTGATCTGCCCATTGCTATTCGAAAAGGTACACGCTCTTGTGTTGGTCGTCCTATAGATTGTTATGTCCCCCATTTTGGTCCTTCCAATTGCCTTCATACTCATCATCCTATTTCCAATTTTTTGTCATATGATCGTCTCTCTCCTAGATTCTCTACCTTTGTCTAGTCCTTGCATTCTATTTCTGTGCCTAATAGTGTTGCTAAAGCTCTTGCTCATCCTGGATGGCGGCAAGCATGAAGGATGAAATGAATGCGCTTGTTGAGACTCGTACTTGGCAGCTCACTTCTTTACCTGCGGGAAAGCAACTTGTTGGTTGTCGTTGGATTTTCACTATTAAAGTCCACTCTGATGGCACTCTCGATCGATCGAAGGCGAGATTGGTTGCAAAAGGATATACTCAGACGTATGGTATTGATTATGATGACACTTTCTCACCTGTGGCCAAAATCTCATATGTTCGTGTCTTTATTTCTCTGGCATTGCACTTTGGCTAGTTTCTTTATCAATTAGATGTCAAAAATGCTTTTCTTACATGGTGATTTGGCTAAGGAAGTATACATGGAGCAACCACCCAGGTTTGTTGCTAACGAGGAGAATTTGGTATGTCATTTACATAAGGCTCTATATGGACTCAAGCAATCTCCTCATGCTTGATTTGGTAGGTTCAGTGATGCTATTATCAAGTTTGGATTGAAGATGTGTCAAGTAGATCATTCAGTCTTTAGTTCTGTCTCCTCAGCCGGTTGTATTTTCTGGTGGTATATGTGGATGATATTATCATTACTAATAGTGATTCATAGAGTACTCAACGACTCCAGCATTTTTTGCATACAAAGTTCAGTGCTCAAGATCTAGGACATCTATGATATTTCCTTGGTATTGAAGTTGCCTACTCACATGTAGGTATCAATTTATCACAATGGAAATATGTATTTGACATTCTTTATAAGATTGGATTTCTTGAAGCCAAGCCAGTTAATACTCTTATGGAATCTAATGTGAAACTTGATGCAGAACATGGAGAATTATTACATGACCCGGTGAAGTATCGGAGATTGGTGAGTAAGTTAAATTATCTTACCGTCACAAGATTTGATATATCTTTTGATGTTAGTGTAGTGAGTCCGTTCATGAGTTCTCCTCATACTACTCATTGGGATGCTGTGCTTCGGATCATCAAGTACTTGAAGGGAACATTGTGTAATAGACTACTTTTCAAGAATTATGACCATCTAAACACTACAGGTTTTTTTATGCGGATTGAGCTGGATGTTCTACTAGTAGGAGATCTACATCAGGCTATTGTGTGTTTCTTGGAGGTAATTTAGTTGCCTAGAAGAGTAAGAAACAACATGTGGTTTCACGTTCAAGTGCTGAAGCAGAATATAGAGCTATGACACAAATAATAGGTGAATTGTTCTAGTCGAGGATGTTATTATCAGAAATTGGCATATCAACCTCAGATCCATTGGTATTATATTATGACAATCAATTAGCTATTCATATTGCAAACAATCCTGTCTTCCATGAGCGAACTAAGCACATTGAAGTTGATTGTCACTTTGTACACAAAAAGGTTAAAAAAGGGGAGATCATTCTTCAACATACAAGGACAGGAGATCAGCTTGGAAATATCTTTACTAAATCTTTATAAGGGAGTGGTATAATTTTTTTATGTAACAAGTTGTGATTTTTTGATATCTACATCCCAACTTGAGGAGGAGTGTTAGGAAATATGTTATGAGGGTACAATAGCTATTTTATGTTTAGATGATTTGTAGGTTTGCTCATATATATATGTATTCATGTAATCCCTCTGTTAATAATTAATTAGAAGATGATTATTTTCTCCAACAGTTTCCATGCACAACAGCGACTTCAAGTATTCTTGTGCTGGTCAAAAGATTACAGAACTGGTGGCGAATCAGATAAATTCATGAGGGCATGACGAATCTAGCAACCACAATTAGCGATGGCGGGCAGCATGAGCAGAGACCCGAGAGCAAGGGCGCGAGCAGCTCGCAAGCAGAGTTGTGCGAGTTCGCGCGAGCAGTGCGCAAGCAGCGAGAGGGTCACGCAAGAAGAGAGGAGGCGTGTGGGAGTGGAGCAAACTGCTGCGGCAACGACTAACGGTTCCGGTGACTAGTTGATGGCAGCAAGTGATTTTGTCGATTAGGGTTAAGAACCAAGCTTTGATACCATGTGAGAGGAATAGGTTATATTTTATTATTTAGAAAATCAATATATGTACATCAGTGATTAGCAACAAAATAAGGCCTAAGAATCCTAAAGACCAATTTACCCTTTATTCTTCTAACAGGACTAAACTGTGATCGCTTCTATTCAGGTTTAGCTCCAATGAGTGAAACTTATTGCCTTCGGTCTGTTGACTATGGGTGCGTTTGGTACAGCATTTGGAATGCTACTTTGGGAATGCAAATGCCTTTGGGTGGAAGCCCTTTAGGAAAAATGCAAATGGCGTTTGGTAAAAACTCATTTGCAAAGCTATTTTGACCCAAGTGGTGTTTGGTTAATTTTTTTACAAATGGGCTTTGAGGGGTTTTTTAAAAAAGGCAAAAATACCCTTCGCCGGCTCCGGCGAAGGGCTACGGCTCCGGCGAAGGGCTACGGCGCCGCGGCGAGCAGATCCGCGCCGGCGGCGGTCACCGTCGCCGAGCGACCCCGGCGAGGGACGCCGACCTCGGGCGACGAGGCTCGAGGTCGCGCGACCTCGAGCCGACGGCCGCTGGGTCGCGCGACCCAGGCCGACGGCCGCTGGGTCGCGCGACCCAGCCGACGGCCGCTGGGTCGCATCGGCTGGGGTCGCGCTGACCCCAGGCCGACGGCCGCCTGGGTCGCGCGACCCAGCCGACGGCCGCCGAGGTCGCGCGACCCAGCCGACGGCCGCCTGGGTCGCGCGACCCAGGCCGACGGCCCGCTGGGTCGCGCGACCCAGGCCGACGGCCGCTGGGTCGCGACCCCAGGCCGACGATCGCCCTGAGGTCGCGGGACCCAGGCGGCCGCACACTGGGCGGTCGCCCGAGGCCGAGCGGCCGCGCTGGGCGATCGCGACCCGGGCGGCCGTCGCACTGGGTCGGGCGGCCTCGCCGGACCTTCGCCGTCGCTAGGCCCTTTGCCTCGCGGAGTCCCTTTGGTGAAGAAGATGAACAGTAACGAGAGGGCAAAGCCGGAATATTGAAATTTGAGTGAGGGTAGTTTGGGAAGTATAAAAATGATTTTGGCATTTGGTTCAAGGCTGAAAGTCCAAAGCTAGTCCCGATCAGCATTGGGCTTTCAGCATTGAAAATGCTAGTTTTGAGCATTTTCAATGCTCAATGCTAACCGTTTGGTTCAGCATTTTTGGGAAGGGGCTTTCGGGGCTGAAAGCCCCTTCCCAATGCTGAACCAAACGCAGCCTATGTCTTGTGTGAAGATACCCGGAGCATTACTTCGACGACGCTTCATCAAACCTTTGTCGTCGTCGCTATTGTGAAGTTGGAATAACTGCGTCTTTACAAATTAAATTCGAAATTTGATGTTGTGATGCTCCGCTACAACTAGAGAAAAGATATGGTTTTTGATAACTTCCATGAGTCCTCTCGAACATTATTCCTTTTTAAACATTTCCTAAGTTATATCTCATGCTTTGTTTTTTTTTGGTCGAATATCTCATGCTTAAAAAGTTACACATTACCCTCTTGAACTTTAACATAATTGCACAGTAACCTTTCAAATCTGAGAAGTAAAAGATTACCCCATGAAATTTCTGCCGTTGATAGTTTCTCAATTTGCATAAATGTTTACGGTTACTATTACCCAAAAAGTATTAAACCTATTACAATTGCACCAATTCAGTCCTAAACTTTTTGCATTTATTCCAATTCACTCCATCCAGCCAACTTTGACCCGGCCAACGCCGACGTAACACGATCGGTGCTGATGTTGATAATTTTTAATAGTATTTTAATATTTTAATATTTTTTTCTTTTCTTTCTTCTTTTTTCTCCCTTTCTTCCTCTGGCCGGTCACTGGACCAAGGCGAGGTTAGCGAGCCTCGCCCACCCATGGCAAGGCTCGACCTCATCGTCGCTGGGCGAGCCTAGCAAGGTCCAAAAATTGGAAAACATATTTTGGCGGGTAGGTTCCAAGTTTTAGGTAGGTAAAATTTGGAACCTGAAACAAGTTTTTATGTTTTTCTTGGTCCATGTCTTCGCGAGATCCTATAGTATTGCACGGCGTCGGATGATGAGTATATAATTTGAAACTATCGGTCTGAGCTTCCATTTTATGATCGAGACT